GCAGCGGCCGCCAGAGCGCGGAGCGCGGGCGCCATCTGGCAGCAGCTCGCGAGAGCCTCCACCTTCTCAGCGCGGAGGCTGCGGTGGCCGGGAAACCAGCGCTTCGCGGGAGGGCCCGGGAGGCGGAGCCGAGGTTCAACCTCCTCTCGGTTAATAACGGGGAGGGGGGGCCGAGAGAGAAGGAGAGCTTTTATAAGAAAGACAGGGCAGGGGGTGTCTGCATATGCAGAGGGAGTATTGGGGAGTTGGTGAAAGCAATAAAACTCGTCGCTTCCTTGGCGAGATAGCGGTGGGTGGGTCGGGAGAGATCAGGGTTTTATTTGCAGATCCTGGATAAAAGATGATATATCGGCACGGTTTAGAGTGTCACTACGCCTGGCCTTTCAGGAAGTCAGAAGTATATATTTCCTGAAATGTCGCCCAACACAATATCTAACCCACATGCCACTTACGCCTGGGAAAGAAACCCTTGGCGTTTGCACAGGTTGGCGCCAGGGTTCTGGGAGGGAGGGGAAGCCCCAACCTAGCACGGTTAGGTGTTTCTCCAAAGCTTTTCCTGCGGGCCTTAGTCCTCCCGTCCTATTAATCACTTAGTGATGGCCATTAATAAACCCGTCTGAGAACAGTTCTTATGTTCGGTAAATATTGGATTAGCTTTTCAATGGTCAGGCTCTCGAAAAGGCTGCAGAAATCCACACCAGGTCTCAACTAAGCTCAATAGTCAATAGGTGTGGGGGGGGGGAATCAGTTCTTTCCATAACTGTGGTGGAGGCCCCCACTTTTATTGAGCTATTGAATTCTACCAAATAGGATAGCTGTATTAACTGAGGAGAAAGGAGGGTCACAGTTCAGAAATGGCTAAAATGTCACCGTCTGGTTGTGCTCATTAAGGGCCAGAAGAGTGTGGTTGAGGGGGTCTCTTCTGGGTTATTTTCTTTCCAAAGTGGTTGGCGTGTATTCTTTTGTTTAACACAATTTAGTTATTTGCTTGGGGGTGTTTATGGAAGTTTTGACCGAACTATTGGAGAATAAGCATAACCCAAATTCTCTCTCACTCTCCTCATCCACTAACTCTCAACTCTGCTTCTTCTTGTTGTTGTGTACCATCCAGTCAGAACCGACCCACAGTTGACCCTCTGGTGGGTTTTCAGAGGCAGTTAATCCTATGGGAGGAGATTGATCATCCTTCTCTAATGGAGCAGCTGGTGGACTCAAACCACATGCCTTTGAGATTGCAGTGCAGCATCTTGCCACTAGGCCACCAGAGTTTCCTTAGCTCATCTCTGATTAGGTTGAGGTTAAAAGGGCACATTTCTTGGAAAGGTCTTGTTGAATTTTTCCATCAAATTTATGTAGGACATAATGACAAAGAGATGGTCTCTCTTACCTTCAACCTGAGGAGGGGGAGATCTCTGAAGATGTTTCCTTTGACACTAACATGCCAGAGCGATTTCCATTCCTAAAATGGATGAAAGGAGCTCCCTTTCAATGCTAAAGCGGGTAACCAACCGAGGGGTTGGGCTAGGTGAGAGTGACATTGTAATCAGGGACAAATAAAATGGAGCTGGGCCTAAGCATGAACACCCCTTCAGCTGCTTTGCTTTCCTTGAGATTAGTGGAAGAGCAGGTCCACTGAGAGATCAGTTTAGAGGAGAACCAGGGTACTGGGTGTTCATCTAGCCTAGAGCCTTGATGCCCTGAATGACTGAGCACTATTCAGACCTCAGGCACTACAAGCCACCTTTTAAGCCCTTGCTGGATCCAATGCATTTGTGAGAGAAACTTCTCAGTGCACAGAGCAAGCAAAGTGACCAAAGCTTAAAGGTGGACAGATCCCAGACACAGACCTGAGCATTAGACATGGTTGACTATTGCTCCAAAGATTTGAACTAATATTTGCCAATATTTGGTGGAAGAGGCAGATTAACAGACACTTCTCCCAGGCCCCCTTACACACACACACACAGAGAGAGAGAGAGAGAGAGAGAGAGAGAGAGAGAGAGAGAGAGAGGTGAGGGGAAGAGGAAGAGAGAAAGATTCGGCTCACAGTGTGACAGGGCCTAGGCTGGGCAAGTGTCCTCTGAAGCCATCAAAGAGAGGTGGCTTTTCCCCCCATCCTCCACCCCCCCCAATAGATATAGCACGAATTTTTAATGCGTCTTCCTTTCACAGACAACAATACAGGGTTTGAAAGCCAGACACAATTTGGGTTTTGTGCGGGTCCCTCCTCGCGCTCCCTCGGCCCAGCTGGCCATATGGAATCCAGCATGGAGCCTGAGAATGACAAAGGGACCCAGTGACAGGCCCAACAAAACCCCAAGGAGACTTCTGCCTGACTCCGGGATTCACTGCCCTCAATAAGCACACTGAATGGTGTGTGGGAGGGTAGAGGCAAGCCCCTTCTCCTCTTCCCCTTTCTCTGTCTCCTCTTAATATGCACGCCTCTAACATCCCCTGCTCCTGGCTCTCCCATTGTGCGGTTTTGTGCCGCCCGCTGTAGATTGGGCTAAGATAGACTGTGTAGTGGGCCCATAGGCCGGGTGCGCTCCCAGGGCTCGGGGTTAGGGCCACACAAGGCTCTCTGGGCATTTTTATTGACTTCTTGGGGACCCAAGGACAGAGAGAGGCGGGCCCTAACAGCCCACTTTCCTGATCTCCCACCCACCACCACTTGCTGACTGCAGGCTTGTGGTCTGAGCACCGCTCCAAATGCATCTCCTGTGCACTCACGTGAAGCCAGAGAGAGTAGGGGGCCCGTGAGTCCTGGTATCTTCTTCAAATGTTCTTGGGCCCCTCAAGTCTCAATTTTGACAGCCTGGTGCTGTCAAAATCTACTCAAATCCCTTTCCAATAACGGGTTTTGGGGGTTACAGGAAATACTTCAAATGGAAATGTGTGGGGGCTCAGCACCCAGGCATCTGATTATTGCACAATAAACAATTTGAGGATAATCCGCTGGCCTTACAAAACAGTTAGAAAAACTCCTAAATGTCTCCAACGTATTGTAGAGAACAAAAAGTGTCTTTATAATATTTAGGAAAAATGTTCCTACCCCTCTGCCTGAACTGGAAATGGGAATGGACATTTAACTGTATACTGGAAAGACTCTCCTGCCTACAAATTACCCAGGAGCCGGCCAGTGACAGGGCAGTGCTGAGTAATCACATTCTGGGCGTGTCTTGCTGAGTGCTGTTAACGCTCAGACTTGGGCACACAGATAATCACGTTTGCTTTAGATACTGAATTAAATCTGATCATCATACTAGAAGGAGCAAGAAAGTTGGTTGGGGCCTCTGCCTCGCCTGTGCAACAGCACTCCGCCAGAAGAAAGAGGGATATCATTTTCAAATGGGAGCAACTTTCAGTTTCTGGAAGTCTCAACACTGAGCTCTGAGCTGCAGAGCTCGGACATTTTCTGAAATCTGCGAGGTGGATAAGAAAGGGATCCCTCAGTCTGTTAAGCCCCAGAGCCAATTCCTCTTGCTGTCAAGCGGGCCCCCAGCACCCAGAAATTGGGGGAGGGGGCAGGTGGAGGGCGGCCTGCCCCACTGATTAACAGGGAGAGGAACAGGTTCCCTGCTGGAAAAGGGCCTATCCGCCCTCCTCTGGGGGTAGCCCTCCAATCCTGGAGATCCTGATGCCACAACGCAGCTCTCTGCTTTGGAGCGGTTCTTCCAGATCAGCGCCGCCCTGAGAGTGGCAGGAGTGTACAGCAACATCTCTCCTTCCTCCGAGCCCAAGTCCCTGAGTCCCTCTTCAGGGTCAAAGCCTAGCGCCCCATAGACCTCACGCCCCACTAAGACCCGGCGCCCTCTCCAAGGCCGCTTATTTTCAAAGGAGTAAGGAGTACAGAAAAAGCCCCAACCTCAGCCCCTTCTCAGCGCGAGGTAATCAAATGCAACAAAGTGAAAGTCATCGAGTGTAGTGGCCTCAACAGCTTCTCAGGCTGAAGGAGCCACTCGTAGATTTGGGTGATCCAGGGGGGCCTCCTCTCCTCGCCTGGGCGTTTCTCTAAGTCATTTTTCCTCCCTCAGACTCACCGCTGCTGTGCATTCCGATGATGATCAAGGCTGAGGGCAGCAGTCTCTGGGCCCTTCCCTCCCCTCCGGGGCCTGGGTGAGATCGGTCAGGCTTGGGAACAGAGGCCCGACCTGGCCTCACCCTCCGGCCCAGGCGCAGAGCGACGGTCAGACAAACCCGAGCGCCGCACTGGGGTTTCTTTCTTTCTTTTTTTAAACACAGGAATTTTTATTAAAATTATTTTTTTTTAAAGGCCAGTATTCCAGCTCCTGTGAAACCACGAGGAACTGCTGAACTCCAAGTTCTGGGGTGGAGGGCCCGGCGAGGGGCGGTGCTTCTCACGTACACCTGGTGTCCTCTTTCATATGTGACATATTTGCACGGAACAAAAGTTATAAAGAGAAAATGGGGCACTCAAAGTAAAACAAACCACGAAGAATGGGTGGGTTCCGAGGGCAAACAGGCCGTCCTGAAGGTCATCTGGCAACAATCACCACCGATATTTACAACGAAAAGCAAAATCTGTCACCAGTATTCTGAACACTTACATGGCCATAAATAATTATACTTTTTTTAAAAAAAAAAGATAAAGGAAAGAAATAATCTAAGTGCTTTCCACTCATTTTAGAAGACACGATATTGCTACTCACACAAATATACTTTACAAAATTCACGAAAAGGGTGGTGTTGTGTTGTTGGTGGTGATTTCTCATATTCAAGTGACAACGCCAAGACAGTTTGGTCCCCGCAGGGAGAGGCAAAGAAGCGAAACTGCTCAAACATCCTGTAAACAGCGCCAATAGTTCAACCCTCTCCAAAGGTTCAAATACGAAAGGGACAGAGAGGAACCAGGGGTGGAATCTGCCACTCTAGTGAGGCCTGGGCAAGGTACTGGCACCTCCTCTCCAGAAATGAGAGTCAATGGGACTCTAGAGGAATGACAAGAACCATAAAGACAAGTCCTCCTCGCCGCCGCCGCGGTGGGGTTGGAGCTCACCAAGTCCACTGCTGGGCCTGCACGAGAGGATGCGCTGTCGGGTACTGCGGGGTGGTGGCCGAGCTGTATTGCGCATTGTACTGCATGTGCTGCAGCGACTGAGCGCTGTAGGCCGAAAAGGGGATGCCCGCCTGGAAAGTGGCGGCCGCCAGGTCCTGGGCTTTGAGCGCATGGCACGGTTTGCCGTCCCTGACCAAGACGGGCACAGCCACCCGACGTGGCGAGGGCAAAGGCGTCACCTCCATACCTTTCTCGGCTCGCGCTCGTTTCATCTTGTAGCGATGATTCTGGAACCAGATCTTCACCTGCGTGGGCGTGAGGCGGATGAGGCTAGCCAGGTGCTCGCGCTCCGGCGCCGACAGGTACCGCTGCTGCCGGAAGCGCCGCTCCAGCTCGTAGGTCTGCGCCTTGGAGAAGAGAACTCTTCGCTTCCGCTTCTTGCCAGCATCCCCCCCGCCGCCGGGAGTCTCCTTGTCATTGTCCGGTGACTCGTCGGCTGAAGGCTCTGGTGACTTGGAGGTCGAGTCCTGAGGGGCCGCGCCGGCAGTCAGCCCGTGTACTGAGGGAGAGAATCGAATCAGGCGTCTCAAAGTCGCCTATGGCCTGTCCCAAACTTGCTCCCGGACCCTCAGCTGTGCCCCCAGCCCATCGTTGCCTGCGACCTAGCCAAGACTATATGCCCTCCTCCACTCGGGTTGAAGTAGTCGGGGTCGCAAGCGGAAAGAAGGGAAAGAGCTTGGGACTCAGGTTTCTAGAGATTTGCACCGTGTGCGTGTGGATCTGATTGCGCTGAGCTTGGATGAGATCCTCCTGGGTTATAGGATCCAGCCCCCTTAAGGAGTTTCCTCTCCAGAGAGACGTGGCCAGATTAAAAAGCAACCACTCCACCCCCCCCCCATCCCAGCATTGATCAGCTTGGTATTTAAAGCAGGGTGAATTTTTGGGGGGGGGGAGGGTAAGGGTTTTTTTTTGGTGGTTTTTTTTTTTTTTACTTTCAGGTTTTCTTGCCACCCTGTTCACTGTACAAAACATTGAAGTAGGAGAAACTGTCTACGCCCAGGCCCCCTTATGCCCCTCTGACCCTAACCCTACCCGGGATTCGTTCCAGGGTGGTTCTCAGGTGGGAGAATCCAGGCGCCCCTTCCTGCAGCTGGGCCTCCAGACCCTGCCAATAGCCCTAACAGCCCTGCAGGACACGCGTCTTCTCCTAATTCCTTTCGTTGAAAAAAAAAAAATCCGAGACCAAGTCTCCTTCCTGGACTTGGCTAGGAGAAGAGAGGGAATTCAAAGAGCATTCAAATTTTTCTAGAGGCCTGCAATGGAGGAATTCCCACATCCTCCACCGGCCCCTTCTCCTCATTCCAGCATCCAGCCGGGGCCACAGGAGGGGAGGCGGCAGAGAGGTGAAGTCGTTACTTACGGGAGTACTGGAGGCTCTCGGTGCTGGCCAGCCAGCGCGTGTAAGGGTTGTCGCTGCTGTCGTAGAAGGGATGCTTCAGGGGCAGGCTCTGCACGGCGTCCAGGGCGCTCTGCGCCAGCGGCCCAGCCCTTTTGGTTGGCTCAGGCCCTTCGCTCTCTTCTTCTGGCCCTTCCGCCACTGAGCCCTCCTCATCATTGGTGTCTGGCAGGTCTAAAATATCCTTGACCGAAAACCCCGTCTTTGTGTTGGTCAACGACATAATTTATACTGGACAGTTATAACTTAAGTTGATCAATTGTGCCGCTCCCCAGCCCAGGAGGGCAAGGGAGTGGGACAAGAGAGAAAGACTGGGGTTTATTAAGGGGCAGGACTTTAATTATTAAGGTAGTTATTATTTGTAAAACAAACAAACAAAAACAGAAAATAAATAAGCGGGGGTGGGGAGGGGCGGGGGGAAATAAAGCCCAGTTCAGTGCTTCTATCTTCTTTGGCCGCCGGAGGTCCCGGCCTGAGGCCTGAGCGGAGCGCGGCGGGGAGTTGGCTGTAACTCCAGGAGGGCTGCCAAGGCGGCGTCAGCGCGGGCTCCAGCGGCCGCTCCGTGCGCGGTGGCGGCTGGTGGCGAGGAAAAAATGGGCCATTGCCCGAGCGATCAGTCCATATAAGGCTGGGCTCCACTCACGAACCTGGGGAGGAGGGGGGCGAGGGGGAAAGAGAAAGGGGGGGAGGGAAGGAGAGAGAGGGAGGGAGAACCAGAGAGGGAGAGAAGGTGGGGGGGGGAAGGGTAGAAGATATTAAAAACGCAAAGGTTGGGCACGTGTGGGCGGGTCTTGGGAGTCAAGTGGATGAAGACAGTATTTGCAGATGTGAAATTGTGGGTTTGGGGTAGTTCCGTGCTCCCAGCCAGCGGCCCTCCAGAGCAAGATCAGAGGTGTAACGTGTCAATTAATTGCAAAGACGACACAAGCCTTTAAAAAAATACAAACACACACACCAAAAAAACAAACCCCACCCCAAACCCAGTATTTACATACAAAGGACCACCGCGTCGCTTGACTGTCCACCTACTAGAAAGAGCCAAATTGAATCTTTAAAAAGGCGGTGGCGGGGGCACCGGAACCAGGAGGAGGAAAAATCCTCCTCAACATTCCCCCAGTCCCACCTCCCCGCCCCCAGGAAGCCGGAAAATTGACGATTTGTGGCGCTTTTGGAAAGGGGGAGGGGGCGAAGGCTGAGTCGCGGAAATCTCTCCTTCCCATCACTGGTGGTTCCGTAAACAAGATCCGGTTCAAATGGCAAGAGCCCAACTTCTGTAAGCCTCCTAGGTCAATATTTTGGTTGAGGCTTAAGGATGAGCACTAGGAATGACAAGGGAAGTAATTGATTCTGGTTAGCGCTGCAAGAGCCTGGGATCCAGCAAAGGCTGGGCTTCGTCTGCCCCGGAGTTTCCCTAGGTGTTCTGTGGCCGCCCCCACCGGTGCCCCCCCCTCGCCAGCTGCCCATTCCCCCACAAATCACTACTTGAACAACTCCTCCCACCTCCTCTGGACTTCTCCCCAGCGGAGGCGGACGCGAAGCTCACTTTCCGCTTGGCGAGGCTGGTCGAAGGCTGGGAAAGGGGGTGCTCGACTTTGGAGTCCGGGGACCCAGTGCCGCCACCGGATCTGCGCGCGGGTTTCCAGCCAGGCGGCCTGTGGTCCGCGGGAGGGGACTGCTGCCCCCGTGCGACCCTCCTGCTCTCCATTAAAAGGGAAGAGTGGCAGGACCCCAAAAGTTGCTTAAAGATGAGAGGGAGAAAGAACACGGCCGAGCGTACAGACGAGCTTTCCTCTCCCACTCGAGGCCCTTCATTTTGGCTCCTTTTGGACGCTCCGGGAGCACCGACAGAGGACTCGCCCCTGTTTCCCGGCCTGGGTGAAGCTTGGAACCATCTTCTCTCAGGTGGAGAAGCAAGCTTGCGCCCAGAGGACTAGTCTGCAGGACCGTGCTTCCCGCCTGCTTTTTCAGATTTTCCACGGGGAAGTTGCTACCTGGTGCTGGCTGAGGCACAGACTCTCTGCGGGAGCAGGGAGGACTGAGGCGGTCGCCTGTGGGGTCTGGTCACCCACTCCGCCCCTCCCCATGACCCGGCTGCCCCGTGCCCTGCAAGGGGAGCACAGGGCGCTCCGTCCTCGCACGCAGCTGCGGTCATAGCCCAGGCTGCTTGTGCCCGGTGAGGATACTTCCCGAGCTGCTCGGCGACTTGCTGCAGCTCTCGCTGCCTCCCTCACCCCCAGTATGTGACGTGGGTGACAATGGCTCAGGTTAGAGTGAGCCCCTCGGCGGCGCGTCCTGGGTGGTCGGACCCGGGCAAACACAAATACAAACCGATTGCTAAGCTGCGGACAATGAGCGAAATGTAGACAAATGTCCCGCTCCCGTTGGAAGCCTTTGTCCCAGCTCGGTTTTTGCATTTATTTCAGTGGTGAAATAATGCATGATTGACGCTCTCTTTCAATGTGTCCTAACTGTTTGGAATAAATCTAAGGTTGTTCCTAGTTGTCATGGCATTCAACCCTTTTCAATGGACTATCTCTTCATTCATTTCTGAATCCGTCCACAATATTAAGGAAACTCCTTCATGTCAGCATTCCCCATTCCTCTTTTTCCTCCTACTTTTTTATTTTCTCTTTTCTCCCTACCCTTCCCCCCTTCCTCTGAAAGAATTGGAAACTTGAGTCGTTATTCGAACCCATTACTTTTCAGTCCCTTCCTCTCTCTTTCCTGTCTTTCTCAGTCGCTCCCCCTCTCACGCTGAAGGCCCTGCCTGTCAGAAATTGGAAATGCTCCGTTTGGCAGGGACAGGAATAGAAGACGAACCTGTGCGGACTATTGGTATCTAGCTACTAAATAGAAAATTTTTTCCTTTAAGTGTTGCAGAAAAGACCCCTTTGTGGGGTCCTTTCTCTTATCCTTCTGTCTAGGGGTAGGGACAGTTATTACTTGAGACCAGGGCAAGTCCTAGGGATGCGGCCTGAATGGGCTCTGTTTGAGCCAAGTCAGTTCTTGGGTCCAGTGATAAAGGAGTTCTCTGGAAAGAAATATTTCCTTTCCAATATTCACAGGGTTCCCCAAAGGGAAAGGCTGCCTTCTAGACAGCCCCAGAAAGCCTTCCTCACTGTGGAGTCACGATTTCCAGTTTTTTCCCCCCTTTTCTCCAAGCACAGAGGGCTTTTCTTCCCAGACCCTGATTGCCATGCCCATACTTCCCTTTCACTCCTGGAAGGAAGCCCATGAGGTTCCCACCACCACAGAAAATAAGTTGTTTTCCTTTGAGAGGGTGTTGCTAACAGATTTGTTGAGGAGAGGTTCAGCTCAGTCTACAAAGGTGGGGTTACATCAGCCCCTGACCTTTGGTCTCAACTGGCAGAAACCCCTCCTCACCTCAGCTCAAATAGTGCCTCTGAGCACCTGCTGAGCAACACAAGCCCCTTCGGAGCCCTCACTTTTCCAGCTCTGTACTGGGGCAGGGAGAGGGTTGAAGGGAGCCTTGGTCTGGCCTTCTCCCTAGCTCAGCATCTCTCAGTGGACCTCTGGGGTCTCCTTAGCTTTGCCATCCTTTTGGTTCCGTCGTCCAAAGTGCTGAAATTTGCAACTGAAAATGTGTTGGGAAGCCCGCAACTGAGGGGATGAAAATGGGCTAGTTAGAGGAAGATGGTGAAGTACAAGTCCCTGAGGAGCATCAGAGGATGTCTGGAAGCTAGTGCAGGTTCAGCTCATGGTGGGATACAAGTGCAGTACCCAGAAGATGCCTCCAAGTCACCCTGATCTTGGGGGATGGAAGAGCTAGGGGGCTAGGTGCCAAATGCACTCTCTGGCACCCTCGCTGTGAATTGAGCTTTCTTAATTCTGCAGGCTATTAAGACCCTGCTTGTCCCCAAACCTGCATGCTTGCTGTCAGGTTAGAAAAGGATCAGTGTTTACTTGCACAGTTGCAGCTTTACTAATCCTCATCTTAGTCCTCTCAGTTTGGGATATTTCAGTAATTTTTTCCCAGGGCTTATCTTGCAACCAGGTTCATATCCTCTGTCCAATGTCAAATTCTTTTTGGGCTTTGAACTGGGCTTTCATGGTCTTTCTTCGTCCCCCACAAATGAGTGGAGGATGCAAGCTTGTGCTCTGGATCTGAGATCTGTGTAATATTTTTGTTGTGGCAGCATTATGCATCTCTTCACTGGTACCTTTGTCTTTATTCTCAGCTTTGGGGAGCTACAGGCCCCATGGAGTAGGGAGAACCTCTCTCTTGCATTAGAGACCTGTGCTTCGTTGGAGAACAGATTGAAGGAAGGGTGCTGGGGAGGTAACAATTGCCCAGAGGTCAGGGGGAAGATACACAGGCTAAGTGGCTCCATTCCAGGACAAGTTGCCTTCCAAGAAGGCTCTATTTACTTTCCCAGGTAGCTCAAATGTGGGTTTCTCTTCTGATGTGTCCTAGACTATGCCACCTCTTTAAGTATGTGTGTGAGCTATAAAAGGCAGCAAACAAAGTGAGAAAAGAGGTACCTTGGGAAAGTGGGGGAAAACCTTGCAGAATTCAAGTATGGAGCTTCTCTGCTCAGTGCATCCCTGTAGGTGAAGTCAGTGTCCTGGGGGCCAGCACCTCCACACCACCTCTTCTCCAGGCTTTGAGGACCTCTTGGAAGTTATCCTGCTTACATTTGTCCCTTTTCAGGCTAATAAAAGCTTGCTGGACTAGTATGTCCTTCAGGGGCATTTAGGACAGAAAAAGATCAATGGGTGGGATTGGGGAAAGCTTAAAAGGTGAGAGAGGCCTTGAGGAGCCCAAAGATTTCACAGCCCAAGATGGCACCCCTTGTTCTCTTCACCCACATAAACATTTCCAAGAACTAAAAATATATGGTTTTGTCCCTTTATTTGTAAAGAATAATTTATTTTACTTTATTTCTTTTCCTCTTTATTTTGGAATTTAAAAAGATTGAAAAGAAACTCCATCCTCATACACAAGTGAGCTCTGAGCTCCACATATCCCATCTTAGATAAAAACCTTCAAGTAAATTAGTCTATTGTCTGGTTAGGCACCAAGGTGTACATATTTGTCCTCATTTACTCCTGAAACAAAGAGCATTGCACCTTTTTGCGCACTGTACAAATACAAAGGTTTTGTCACAAGAGGAAGGTTTATTTTTTATCTTGAATTGGAGACTCTGAGAGTGTCATGTCCTCAAAATCAGCAAGGAAGGGGCAAAATCACTCAATTTGGCG